CATGAAGACATCCTAGTCTTTGAGGGGGAATATGAAAATCCTGCTGATTGCCTCTTTGTCAATGCAAGGCAGTTGGGAGCCAAGCCATCAGCATCAGGGCTCTATGGCTTGCTAAAGTCTCTTGCTTCCCCCACCCTCCATTTACAAAGCAGAAACAAGAGAAAGATCCTGGTTTTAACAGGTGCTTTGGGTAGCATTAGAACCAATGCTACAATGTGATACCCACAGAAGTTTCCTGACAGCACAATCAGGCCAACCCACCATAAAGAAATAGACAAACACACACAGCTTTGGGAGAGCCCACGGGCGCCAGTTGTATTCTTCATGGGACACTTTCCCTCAAAGTGTAAGCCACTGAGGATAAGGCATTGCTGGCTGGAGAGATATCCAAAAAAATCACCTCCACCTCCTCGTGTAGAAAGGGTCTTCGCAACTAAGGCTGTCACTGCCGCTTCTGCCGCCAGCTCCTCCCACCAATGCCCTGCCCTCTGAAGCACTCAGCTCCTGCTCTCAGGAACTTAAGTTTGCGGTGAGAGACAAGTTCCCACATCCTGTTGAGAAGGGGCCTTGCACTCACTCCAGCCTCAGAAGTTCAGCTGACTGGAACCCACTACAGTCCTTTTGTAATGGGATGGAGATGGAAGAACGGATTCGTGGCTGAGGTCAACCAAGAAGTGAAGAAATAATTTTCCAGCTTCTCTGTGGATCAGTCACAGGGAAAATCAAGTTGATTCAGTCCATCAGTGGGTGTATTTAATGCATATTGTGGGAGAAAGTTCCAGGCCTGAAGGGGATGTTTGCATGGGAGGAGGCATGTTCCTAACGAGGGAAGGAAAGTAAAATCAGGTCCTTGCTTTTACGTCTCACCAAGTAGACAGTGTACACACTAAATATGCAAATTATCATGAGCTAAATGTTTGTGCAATGCTGTTGGAGGGAAATAAATTTCTTTGTATATCTGTTGGTCTATACTGGGGCTTACCATCTTCGTATTTGATTAAGGTTTTATCATAAGTATTATATTTCCACCTTCCACTACCTCTTACTTTATAACTTTATTGGGTAATTTCTGATAATAAGGAGTTTCAAGAATATTTATTTTAAGATAAAAAAAAATGCCTTCTTCCAAGTGTACCAGGTAAACCAGATGAAATACCTTCAAGGAGAAGAGACAGCATTCTGCTTCGTGAATGTGTGTGTGAGTGTGCGTACACATGTATGCATATGTGTGCATTCATGTTGGGTGTGAGTGTCTGTGCATGCACATGTGTTGGGAAGAGAGAAGGGATTGGTTATACAAAGTGTATCTGTCATTGTCTTTCTTCTACAAAGCAAACCACTATGCCTGAAAATTATTTCTCTATGTTAGTTTGATCTTCTTGAATCCATGACATTTCAATGACTTGCTTACTACTTCAAGACGGAGAGCTTTTGCAGGTTGGGGAAGGGTTTCTGTTCTCTCTGTGTTTCGTTATGCCTTCCAGCCAGTCTTTGGCAGAGTGGCATCACTAGCACCAGCATGAAAGCTGGGCCTTTCCTGTCCTTGCTCTCTCCGACTTCCTGCTCCTTGTGTGTAATCGGGTAAACCGCAGAAAGGACTACGACTGCCTTCCCAGAGTTTTTTTTTTTTTTTCATTATGCATGAGCCCCTCACAGCCTCAGGTTGTCCTATGACGCTACTGTACCTGTGGTCCTGATGTTGGCGATCACGCCAGGAGTAAGAAAGAATGGTGGCCAGTGAGAAGAATCAGGATTCAGAGCAAGTGAGTCGACGTAGCAACAAAAGAGGGAAGACATGCCCCACAATCTAAAAATTATCAACAAACTTTTTTAAAAAAAATGCATAAATGGTTATTATTAACTTATGTTTCCCTAGAGATTAAGCACATTATAGACCATCACAGAAAAACATTTTTTTTCTTTTGTGCATTCTGCCTAGGAAGGAATAACAACACCCACAGAGATGATTCCTCCTCCTCTTGCTTTAATCCCAAGAATGGTGAACACATCTTAACAAGGTCAAAATTGAGCTTCCAAGTTACTTTTGATTTTCATTAGTTGTCTATCATTCAAATATCCTTTATTTCTTTTGCACTTTAAAAATCTATGCAAGCATTTGTGATGTGGCTCAGTAGGAGAGTCCTTACCTGCCACTCACACTTCCTTTGGTCTGAGTGTGGCATTTTTACTAAGCTAAATCATCTAAGGTTATCAACCCTTAGCTTCAATTTTAACGTGAATAGCTAGATTTTTGTTTTTGTCATTGATGAAAGAAGACAACAATGATTAAACATTAATAGTCTTGCATTCTGGTTTCACTACAAATTGAATATTTATGCATTGCTTTTACTTTAAAAGGGGGCTGGGGAGCTGATGAGATGGTTCAGTAGTAAAAATGCCTGCCACCAAGCCAAATGGCCTGAGTTCAGCGCCCAGGACCCATACGGTGCGAGGAGAGAGCTAACTTCTGAAAACTGTCCTTTTGTGCAGTTCAGGTTGCTGATGTGCCAAACACACCAGGGAGCCTGGCTACCCTCACTGTTTCTTCAAGGGTCCCGTCACTCCTCCCTCCCCACCTTGCAGCATCCACTGAAAACTCTCAAGAGGACAGTGACTCAGACTCAAACACCATAACTCTGTGTGTAACTGACAAGTGTGTTTGTTTGAAGATACGTTAGTGCAAATAATTCAATTTAGACTCTATCTGGAAAAGACGGTGCTATATTATGAATGAATTAGAAACAATTATGATGGCAGAAAAAAAATCAGTGGTTAAGTGCTGCATTCAATTCTTAATCCATTTGTTTATATATTTTTTGTTTGTTCAGAGCTAAGGACCAAACTTAAGGCCTTGTGTTTGCTAAGCAAGTACTCTACCACTGAGCTAAATACCTAACCACTTGTATTAACCCATTTAATCTGTGCCAAAACAAACAAGAACAGAGTGACAAGTGGGATTAGAGTTCCGACTTCAGAGATTAAGAAAGCAGATCAGAAAAGTCAATAATCTGATAGATGCCATGCTTGTGCCTCAGTCAGATAGCTTCAAGGCCCAGACCTCCGTTACTGCAGACACTCGCAAGGTCTCCTGGATCCAGATTAGTAGGCGAGACTAAAGTTTCCACTGTACATCCACAACTTCCATATTTTCCGAGCTAAAAATAAGCATGATGTTTTACAATGGCCAGGGGTATTTCAAGGGTTCTTCCCTGTGCTGTGTAAGGCACGAAGCCAGTTGGCAGAGCCGGGCTCAGTTCCCCGGCAGTGCAGCGAGGAGGGAGAAAAGATGATGTCGGTAAGGTTTCTTCTTTATACAAAAACAGGAAGCCGTCTGATGTGCGAGTGTTCTCTCACACTGTACACCCTGCCTGCCCTGTGGACTCCTTTAATGCACCTTGAAGCAGCACCATGGCATTGTTTGCATGAGGAGATAAGAAAGCTCATGGCTCTTCCTTATCACCTGGCTCCCAAGCCTAGGTCCTTAAATCGCTTCGCTATTCCACCTTGGTTGTAATAATCCTCAATGAAATTATACATAAAGACTATAAATTATGCCTCTATAGAAGTGTAGGGATCAAAAAATTTGTTCTCAGGAATAAACTTCCTTGCAACCAGAGAGCAAACTTTTGTGAATGCTTGTGTGTGCACACATGCATGTGCGCACCTATGCATGTGTGTCTGTGCACACATTGTGCACTAAAGATTGAGCTCAGAACCCTGCCCGTAATGAACACCTGCCCCATCTTCTGTCTAGTTTCTCATACTGCTTTCTCTTTCTCTGTGAAGCTTCAGTCAGAGCACTGAGCGAGAGGCTTCTTCCTGCTTTTTAACTTTTTTTTTTTTTTGAGGTGGGAGCTCATGGAGCTGAGTCTTGTCTCTGTCTCAGACTTGCTATTTAGTCAAGGATGACTTTAACCTTCATAAACTTCTGATCTTCTTGTCTCGGCCTCCTAAACGCTGGCACTGGAGAGTGTACCCCCATGCCTGTTTTTTTATTTCTATTTCATGCTAAGCATCTGAGCCAGGGCTTCATGCATACTAGGCAGATACTCTCTCAACTGAGCCACATTCCCTGCTCAAGCACCGTGGTTTTTTTTTTTAAAAGAAAGAGCAAACACACCATTAATTGTCCCAGGTTAAACTGGACTATATTAACAAAGAAAGGGGAACGTCTGCCTGTCTTTCCTGAGTAATTTCCTAATTCTTGTGAGGGGGTAGGTGAGGCAGGCCCTCAGGGAACTGATAAAAGTCATTATGGAAGAGACGAGACTGAGAGAAAGATCTGGAAATGAGATAATCCCAGCCAGTTCCTACTGCTGGTCTGTTGCCTTCCCTAAAGAAGCTTCCGCCTCATGTTAGCCTGCATGCAGCCACACAGTAGCAGTCTGCATTTATAAATGAGGAACCCTCATCCCGTTCCTTTCAGAAGGGCTGGCTTGCTCTGTACTGCCTCCCCGATAGCAGACGGACTTTAAATGCAACAGGAACAGGAAAGCTCTAGCCAGCCGCAATGAAGCTAGCATTGCTTTGCTGGGTCAAAGCACAGAGCCTGAATTCACAATGTCTACTTTCTTTTTTAAGTCCAGTTTCCACATGAGTCTCAGCTGTAAAATGTGGAAGAATTCATTGGTTGGTCACTTCCATATGTTTTTTCAAGTGAAGCGAAAGTCTGGAGAAATATGAAGCATGAGTAAGCCCAACGAGATAGCTAGGCAAGCAGTGAGGGGACAGAGAAACCTTCTCAACACAAACGAGTGAGTCTCTGTGTGACAAAGAGAAGTTTATGCACAGCCACAGCCCTCCCTTTTCAGAAAAACCCTCACTACTTATTTTGCCATAGAGGAACTTAAATGTTACAATAGCTGGCCAGCCAATCAGCAGCACCCCGACACCGCAGCACTCTGGCCGCAGATCAGGAAGCCCTTGAAGGTATAGTATTTTAAATTGCAAGTGAGACTTCTGGGTTCTCAACTGGCCTTTGTTGTTCCCTGTGCTCGTAGGATGGAAAAACAGATGTAAAATCCCTCATGGCGAAGTTCAACACAGGAACTAGCCCGACAGAGGAGGTCTCCACCAACAGCAGGCCTTTCAAAGTTGCCGGCCAAAACGCGCCTTCGGGAATACAAGCAAGAAAGAATTTATTTGACAACCAAGGAAATGCCAGTCCTCCCGCCGGACCCAGCAACACGCCTAAGTTTGGGACCACAAAACCACCCTTGGCAGCGAAACCTACCTATGAGGAAAAGTCTGACAAGGATCCCAAACCCCCATTTTTAAAACCTAGTGGAGGGAACCAAAGATTTGGAACACAGCCAAACTCGGCTTCTAGAGACCCCGAGATCAAAGCGGGGTTTCTGAAACCTGTAAGCCCCAAACCCACCAGTTTGACTAAAGAAGATCCTAAACCGGCGTTTTTACGACCTTCTGGGAATAAACTTCACAATTTGAACCAAGAGTCGGACTTAAGGACGCCAGGACCAAAGCCAGGGCCTACTCCCCCAGTACCCGAAAACGATGTAAAGCCAGGGTTCTCAAAGGTGGCCGGAGCTAAGAGCAAGTTCATGCCTGCCGCACAAGATGCTGACACCAAACCCCGATTTCCCAGACACACCTTTGGCCAGAAGCCATCTCTGAGTACAGAGGACTCTCAGGACGAGGAAGGTACCTCTAAAAATGCAGCTGTCCAGAAAGGACCCCCAGTGCCACTGGGGACCAAGGGCAAGGCTGGCCCTTTCAAACCAGCCAGGGAAGACACAGAGGAAAAGGACAGCGGGACGTCAAGTTCGCCCTTTCCTGGAGTGGTTCTGAAACCTGCCGCAAACAGAGGGAGCCCAGGGCCCTCCAGAAACTCTGAAGAGAAAAAAGAAGATAGGAAAACAGATGTTACAAAGAACATCTTTCTGAATAAAATGAATCAGGAAGAACCGGCCCGGTTCCCTAAGGCCCCTTCCAAGCAGACAGCAGGGACACCATGGGGTCAAAGTCAGGAGAAGGAAAAAGGAGACAAGAATTCAGCAAGCCCCAAGCAGAAGCCTCTGCCTCCTCTGTCCGTCTTGGGCCCGCCTCCACCCAAGCCCAACAGACCACCCAATGTTGACCTGAGCAGATTCCGCAAAGCTGACGCTGCAAACAGTGAGTGTTTCTCATTGCTAGTAACTGTGGTTTACTCACAGTGGAGAGCATTGCAGATTCTAGGAGAAGCTTTAGAGCAAGGAGCGATTGCATAACTGATGCCCGTGCGAGTAGAGGGTCAATTTTCCTTTGGTGGTTTCTTCACTTTGTGTAGGAGGTCTGAGAAGGTCGAATATCCGAGTTCTATTGGAGTATTGGATGAGAAAGTGCCTGGCGGGGGTGTGTGGGGGGCACTGACTTTTTAGAGTGGAATAATGGGAAAGAAATACACCTATTTGACTAATAAGCGGTTTTGCTTAAGGATAACCATTGCGTTTATTCCCTTGGGTTTTATTTTTGTTGATTGAGAGAGATGTGATGCCCATCCCCAGTCAAAGAGAGAAGTGGGCAGACCTCTAAGTCAGCATTCTAGAAGGGCTCAAATGTCATGACTGAAGGATGTCTGCCTTGTCAGGAGGCATTTTCAAATGTCACAGTGGACAATGCTAACGACATTTTGGAAGTAAAGCCACTTCCTACAACACAATAGCAGTCTCTCATCCAGGTCAAAAGGTCAATGCTGCAAATGCTATTGATCATATTGCCTAAGCCCAAGATTTAAGCAGGAGAGTTTATAGGAGATGGTATTTCATAGTTTTTTTTTTTATTTTAGCTGGGTTTTTTTTTAAATTTCCCAATAGTATCTGTACTATTGCAGTTTATGAAGGCATACATAGCTAGTAAATGAAGGAAGACAAAGTGTGTTTTGCTGTCCTTCTAGAAGACTGGTCTAGATTTCTTCCCAAGGCGTTATTGCAATATTACGGTGTTTGGGTGGAATTAGATACTGAATGTCTCTGTAAACACTTGTCACCCTGTGTTGTGATGAAGAAAGCTCACTCATGCCTGTGGTGATTAATATTCTAGCAAATGGTGAACGACTACTGTCCCTTGTAAGATGAAAAAAAAGATAGTTACACGTGATCATACCCCTTTAAGTCATATGTTTTTCCAAAAAAATTCATCATCATCTTAATCTATGTAATGTGGTATAGGCCTGTGACTCAGGAATGGGCAGGTGGAGGCAGGCAGATCAGAAGTTCAAAGTGTTGGGACTGACTACTTTAGAGAGTTTGAAGCCATCCTGAGCTACGTGAGATTCTACCTTAAAAAGAAAAATCTTGTCTGATACAAGCAGGTTTAAGCATAACCATTGTCTCTGGTAGACCTTCGCACAGGCTCCCTCTGCCTAGCTGAGAGAGAACGTAAGGTGAAGTCTAGGAGGCACAAGGCTGTCATCACCTCCAGACTGTGCCGCCTGCTCCTGACTGGGACCAAGAGAAAACAGCCAATTCTACCAGGGGTGGAGAAAGATCACAGAGCCAGGTTCCCATGATGATTACCCCAAGACTGGTATCGTCAAGTTTGCCCCCTTCTTGATTCACCAAGTTCACCCAATTTGATGTGTATCCTCCAACTCGGAATGGCAGCTTGCAAGGACCGTTCTAGATGGCTGCTAGAGCCACCAAGGTTTTCTGAGTTCGCAGCTTTTTCTCCAGCTCTGAAGTGCTGGTGATAAATGTGCCTAGCTCGATATGAAGCCTCACACTGAAGGACTTTGGGTCCTTGCTGCCTGGGACAATTCAGAACATTAGCCATTCACTTGCACTAAGGTGGGAAAGAAAAGAGATTGCGTGCTTAGAAAAAGAAAAGGTCTACCAGATGTTTATCAATGACTCTTTTCATCAGTTTACTAAGTTGTGAGGCTACTGATGGGGGTAAAATGCTTTGCAGTGAATGTAGAGACGGGCTCCAAGCAGCCCATGTCTTATAGTTGCTTAAAGTAGTTACAGCAATTTCCAAATTACTGAAATGGCCTGTGTCATCCCCTTGGCCTTTAAACCCCTAGGATTCCTTCCTACTTTCTGCTGCCTTGCTCCTTCTCTATTTTCACATCCAGATAAATATTTGCCATTTGTAGAGGACTTTCACATCGCATTATACAATCCTACTCTATGTATTCGGTGCAGGCAATGACATGGAATTCTATCCCAGCACAGTTAGGGAATTTGTCCAAGTTGTAGCTTACCTACGCAGGGCCACAACTGCTTCTTGTGTGTCTCTGATTCTATAGACTGTGCCCATCTCTGTCCCAGTCCCCATGCTAGCTGCCTTTCATGAAATGTAGACTCTTGAAATGATGAATCGGGAACAAATGGTACCCAAAGACTCCGCGACCCTGTCTTTTGTTCTGTCTTTTGGTTAAAATGTGTCTTTTTAAAAATTACTATCATAAAACTGTGAGCTCCCTTAAAGCAGAAATCGGTTTGCTTAGCATTCTCCTCTCCTTTGTGGAACAAAAAGGCATGAATTTTCATCACTTTCCTAGGGGTGTACTCCCACAGAAGGATATTAATATGAAGCTAGCTGCCCCCAGCTTTTTCAGTATTAAATATTAATGCTCTCCATAGTTTACTAATAACTTCTGCATATTGTCTGTACTTTCAGTTAAATGGAGCTTTGGCACAAAATGAATTCTACACAAAGCGCCCCTCCTCGAAGAGATCTTCTCAGTGTCTTGTCTGTAAACTGCAAACATGCATATATCACACTGTTTTCCGAATGGGGAATAACAGTACCATGTAATAGCTGAAAACATTTTTGGTTCCTCCACCCCCACCAACACGAGAACCATTTACAACTACAAAACCCTAAACACTTTCTTAAGTTGAAATGTCAAAACGCTCTCTTTCTTTTGACTCTCTTAAAAGACCTCTTTCCAGGTGTTCCAGTACGATTTATCGTAACGTCTGGGTTCGTAAGCACCCCGCCAGGCCCAGCTGCTGGGTGGTAGGTAGGAGGTAGAAAAAGCCTGCTAGGAAACATTCTGTTCAGCCTTCTTTCTTGTCTTGTTCTTAACACTAGGAAGAAGCACTAACTGTTCTGTGTGCTAGCTATGGAAATAATAATCAGTTAAGACCTTAACAGTTACAGAAATGAATCTGGGGCCGGCATTAGCCAAAGGCTGTCAGAATGCTGTGCCCCCTCCTCATTTGTGTTTGCTCCAACTAATCCAGCCGCCAGGAACTTGACATCCAGAAGAGTTGGGGTGGGGAATAAGGAGATGATAGCTCAGAGTCTACAAATACCCATTGCTCTAATGGAGGACCTGGGTTTGGTCCCCAGCACTCATTTGGCAGCTCACAACCATCTGTCACTCCAGTTCCAGGGATTCTATTCTCTTTGCTCAGAAGAGCAAATGGGCACCAGGCACACATGTGGTGGACAGACATATATGAAGGCAAAAAAGTCATAAAAATGAAATAAATAAGCCGAAAAAAAAAACTTGGGAAGAACTTGGGCTGTGGTTGGAGCAGAGTTCAGCTGGAGAGCCCCCACCCTTAGTGGCCTAAGGGGGAAGCACAAAGGGCTATTCCAACAGCAAGGGACCTGTTTCTAGGAGAAGGTGAGAATTTCCTCCACAGATCCCAGGGCTATCACCACCTCCTTCTGGTCCATCATTATCCCTTTAAATATTCTTTTGTAATATGACCTTACTGGATTTTTATAAATGGAAAAATAATTTATCTCAGTGCCTAGCAGCATTTCCCACAACATTGCTCATGCCATTATAAAAACAGGGACACAAGGCTCAAATGAGTCTTAAAGACTTGAGGGTCAATAGTCTTCCAGAGAGCCAAGTTTCTCCACAGTTAGCTGTGCCACTGTACACTTGGAAGTTGAGAAAGAGGTTTACCTAGATTACCTAGGTTTACCAAGGATGTCTCAGTGGACTATCCCCGGGCACTAGCCTGGGATGTGTGTGAACTGTGTGCATGAATGTAAACCCAAGGATGTCTCAATGGAATATTTCAGGGCTCTAGCCCGGGCTGTGTGTGCAGTGAGGGCATGAATCAGAACTTACTCAGCTGTGTGGGTCAGCCTGAGGAGGCAATGAGGCCTTCTGCAAATTGAGCTAGGCTCATATTCTCCAGATGTTTAGACACTTTGAGACTGGAGTCTAGGCTTGACTTCAATTCTCTCACAGTCTTGACTCTGGGAAACCTGTCTTTCAGAAGATGTCTGGTCCTTTCTTCTATCCTAGGTTGCAACCCTTGAGGAAGTATCTACTGTTAACCAATCAGTCAGCTCACCTGGGTTTAACTCCTTACTATAAATGCCTCAAAAAGGCTCCCTTCAATGCGCAAGTCCTTGGTCAGATCTGCACTACCCTATGCTTGGTCTTCCCTCACTGAGTTCTAGACATCTCTCCTCTGATCCTCAGTGTAAACCCCGTTCTCTTGAGCAAACTATTCCATGGATATAAATGCTGGGCTTTGTAAAATCCAAACTCTCCACATTACAGCAAGCATTTTCAGCTTCCGTTTTCAATTTCTGCCAGCAAATTTTCCTCTGGGAAAGTCTGAGGCTCTCCTGAGTTTACTCCTTTGAAAATTACTTGTTTTCTGTCAGAATTCTCAGAGAAAGCTCTGTCCTGGAAGTACAGATATTTAGCGAGGCCATGTCTGTTCATCACTTGATCATTAATTATTTCCTGAGAGACGCTGGCCCTCTGTTATTCTCGGGCTCTTCCGGAGTTCTGCATTTCCATACACACAGGGATCTCACCATCACTTATGATTTGACAGATGTATGATGGGAAAATCTAGACGCTCCAGTCCAGGGTGATAAACCTATTCTCCCCTCAAACTATGCTTTGAGGTCTAAGCTTTGCTTTAAATACTGTTCTCCTTCGTGTTGGAAAACTGTTTGGGATTTGAGGGCAGCCCTTGCTGGAGACACAGATTCTGCTGTTCTCTGAGCTCTTGTTGAGTGTTCTGACCCAGGCATTATATAGTCAGCATTAACTGCTGATCCTTTTGTGGTATTTAGGGTGTCTCTGTTGAGGATTTCTCTTGACCTTACCCAGGCTATTCGGTTACCCCTCAGTCTACTTTTGAAGTAAAACGTTCTTGTGAGAATTCACAGGCTTTTCAAGAGCCACTCTCTTCCACCAACAA